TCTGTGGAACGCCTTCCCGAGGGTGTGGAATTTCAGAGAGAAGGCACTTCCCTACGATATTTATCGTAGGTTGGAGTTGGATTTCGACGAATATTCCTGTCATGGCATTGAAAGGATTGTGAGTATTCGCTAATCGTTGGTCACTGAAGGGATACAAACAAGCATGGACCCAACCACCGCCCACACCAAGGAGCATGTCAGGTGCACGTGTTTGCTCATGGAAACCTCTATTCACTGTACATATAAAACCACCTCATGCAAGTAATTCAATGCTCGTAAGACGACACAACAAGTTGCCTGCGGTCCTTACGAGGATTCCATGACGTGGCAGACCACGAATACAGTTTCTCATCCATGACAACAAGGAATTGTCCATTTACTGTTAGTATCCCTCTTTAATTCAAAAATCGAATTAGATAGATCGCAAACTGTCGTGTGCAGTGGTCTTCTCTCCTGTTTTTTGTTCAAGAGGTCAGTGGTTCCATCCTTCCCCATCACACCTTTTTCTATCGTGTGATTCCTTTTCGGAACTGACAGCGAAATATTGCAAGGGTAGCCACACCTTCAACCAAACATGGTTGGTGGTGAATGCCAAGTCAGTGTCCGAGGTTTCTCGGTTACAAAATAGAATGTTGTGTACCCTCCTTGCGGGTCCTTTGAAGCGCATCGTGCGAGAAGCAAATTGTGAGGAGGATGAACGGGGAGGAAGCTTCACACGATCTTTCGGGAAGCATGAGAGTGAAGGTAATACAACAGGCTTTTGCGATGGACGTTTCTACACTGTTCTCGCGACGGTTCCAGAGCGAAGGGCATAGATATAGCTGGAGGTTGCCGTTTCGTCTCGACAAGTTGGCGCGTTCTCGATTCGTCCAGCAATAACACAGGAACGTCAAGCATCATTGAAAGTATGCTCAGGCGTCGTCTGTAGACAGCAAGCGCCGTGGGCACCGCCAACACGCAATAATCCCCTGGAGTGCGCTGTGCACCCAAACCCGGGTTCGAATTTGTGTGGTCGGCAACTCAGCACCAAATTTCGAAACGCCGAACCGTTACATGATCCGGATAAGGAGGTAATCGACCAATCCGATGTGCTTATGCACGAGAATACGAAATGATTGGAGAAAAATAGCGGTTCCATATTTTGTGTGGCTCCTCCGTTGCGATCTTCCATGCCCGTGCTATCTCGAGCTTTTGCGTGACGGACGACAGTCTCCCTGCCGATAGCCTCAAGAGTGCGTCAACCTTCTTCCGACTCGATTGATCTTCAGCGGTGCCCGTCATCTCTGAGGAACTCGAATCGTGTGGGAAAAAGCAGCGCATATCTGTGAGGAAGTGGTAGCGGTGACTAGCGTTTCCAGGTGCGTCCCCGAGCTCTCGATTGTGTTCGGCCATGTTGGAACATGGTGCGTCTTGTAGTGGAAAAGCGACGGATACCAAGTGGTTCGGTGACGAGTGCTTCAAGGATGAAGGGTCTTGTCAACGTGTTGCGTTGGACTGTCACCATGTGGGTGGCAGTCGGTGTAGGGGTGTTGTGGTGTGTGGTAGGCGTCGCGAGCGACGCTGATCCTGCACCTGCTGCAGCTCCTGCAGTGGTGATTGATTTCGGGTCGTGTGGGGTGTTTAACCCTGCGTCGTCGGCCACGGCGGTGTCGTACTGGGACCAAGCCGACAAGTGTGGAGCTTGTTTGGCGACGTCTGGGTGCGGTTTCTGCCACTCGACGATGCAGTGTTTGCCAGGCACGGCGGCGGGTCCTTCTGTGGCGGTGCCTTGCCCGGATTGGCTATTTGCTGATGCGGCAACATGCCCCCAGAATCCGCACTGTGACCTACTGGTGGACTGCACCAGTTGTGCCGTTGCCGACTCGTGTGCGTGGTGCGCGTCCAAGTCCTTGTGTCTCACGGTCGAGGATACGTACACAGCCGCTTGCCGTGGAACGGTGTTTGACCCCCCTTGCCCGGCCACTTTTGTGGCCGACAACCAAGGTATGTTGATCCGGTTTCGATCAAAAGTTGACGTGTGGTGCTCTAGTGGTGGGCAACTTGGCCGTGGTCGCAGACCCGGTGTTTGGGGGTGGCAGTCTTTCAGTGGAAGGCACGCGTCCCCTCGATAAGAATTCCTACCGCACGTCGGTAGATGCGACTGGCGTGTCTGTGGACTCGGCCGGGTCGATCGACTTGAAGGCTGGCGATGCGACGACGATGAACGTGTACGGCCATTCTGTGAACATTGAAGCTGGCAGTGGTACGAGCTTGAACCGCGGACGAGGTGGATCTGTCTTGCTTGCTGCCGGCGTCGGACACGGCCTCGAGCGTCAAGGTGGATCTGGTGTCGGTGGGGACGTCACTGTTAGCGGTGGCGAGTCCAAGGAAGCAACTGGCGGGAACGTCAAGTTGATTGGTGGTTCGTCGACTTTAATCGGCGGGGCAATTTTGATTTCGTCGGGTGGATCGTCGACTGGTAGCAGTGGCCCTGTAACAATGTCGACCGGGCCCGCTCCCCTTCACAGTGGCCCTGTCGTTTTGAAGACAGGCACGTCGTCTTCCAGTGGTCCCGTTTTCATTTCGACGGGGGACGCTAGCATTGCTGGCGCAATCGCGATGCAGCCCGGAGAATCGTCGGCGATTGGTTCTGTCGGGTCCAAGATTACGCTAGCGGGTGGGTCGTCGACGTCTGCGACGGGGGGTACGATCAAGTTGACTTCTGGTGTGTCGGCTCGTACAACGAGCGGAGACATCTCGGTGCTTTCGTCGAGTGCCCCGATTCAGTCGGGAAATGTATTGTTGGGTACCGGCACTGCTGCAAAGGGAGTGTCTGGGTCCGTGTATGTCGCCACCGGTGCCACATCGGACGATTCGAAGAAGGCGGCAGGCGACATTGTGCTTGTCATTGGTGAAGATAGCGGCGCGCTCCAAAGCGGATCGGTGATTGCGACGGGTGGACCGACCAAAGGAGGCGCGGCCGGCGGAATCCAATTGTCTGGCGGCGACATCATGGCGGAATCTGTCGACACTACTTCCCGCGGTGGTGTCGTTGACATTCGAGGGGGAAGTTCCAAGACATCTGAGCCCACCAGCCGGGGAGGCAATGTGCGTATTGAAGGCGGTAGTGCGTTGGCTGGAGCCGGAGGGGGCATTGCGTTCACGTCTGGTCGATCTGAAGCCAGCAACAGTGGAGATGTTCACATCAATACTGCGGTCGCCCAAACTGACAGCGGTGTCGTCAGCATTAGCTCCGGTGCCTCTACGTTTTCCCAGTCTGGCGACGTGACACTGACCACGGGCGATGCGTTGCAAGGCAAAGCTGGATTTGTGAAGATCCAAACGGGGTTGAGCCAAGGCGGTGCTGCATCGGACATCACCCTCAATTCTGGCGCGAGCACGTCCTTGACCGGGGGAAATATCGTGCTGGAAACCGGCAAATCTGGGACTGCGGCCAGTGGAGATATCAAGATTGGGTCCGCCAACTCGGCCGCATCTGGTGCATTGACGTTTTCGTCCGGAAATGCCCAAGACGGCTCCAGTGGATCCATTCGTTTGAGCACGGGCGACTCGGTTTCAGGCACTGTGGGCAGCATCGAAGTTGCTACCGGCACGGGCAAGCAATCAATCGTGTCCATCAAGGTTCTTGGCGGTACCACCAATGCCGCCAACTCCCAAGGTGGTAACGTTCAACTTCAAGCGGGCGACGGCACGTCGTTGGACGCCGGCCGTGGAGGTGACATGAAATTGCAGGCTGGCGCTGGGTCGGGAGTTCACACGAGTGCGCATGGAGTTGGCACTGGCGGGTCCATCTCGATCGCTGGCGGTGTTGCTCAAGAAGGTGTTGGGGGTAGCATCACTCTGAGCAGCGGAGCGTCCACGCTTGGCACTGGTGGTGCGCTCGCGCTTACCTCTGGCACTTCGACCCAAAGCGGTAGTGGCAGCGTGTCGTTGGACACAGCACCAAGTGGATCGGCTGGACCCTCTGGATTCTTGTCGATCTCAACTGGACAAGCAACACTGGGTTCGTCCGGTGGAATTGCAATTTCCACCGGAGCTGCAACGAACGGCCGTGCTGGTGCAATTTCTGTTGGTGTTGGTGCCAGCGACCAAGGGGACGGCAGTGCCTTGTCGCTGCTGGCCGGTTTGTCCTCGGCGCCAGCATCGGCAGGTGGGACCGTGACTGTGAAAGGTGGTGACGGTACCAGCGATAACCAAGGCAAGGGTGGTGATGGTGGCCCTGTATCGATTTCGGGTGGGTATAGCTACGGGCTCTCCACGAACAACAAAGGTGGCGGCCTTACCATGTCGGCTGGCAGTGCCAACATGGGCTCTGGTGGAGACGTCAACGTTCTCGCGGGTGGATCGCAGCAGTTTTCTTCAGGTGGAATCAAGCTCATGACTCCTCCGTCTGGCTCCATGGGTGCAAGTGGCGGTATCACCTTGACGACTGGTTCATCCAGTGCGTACTCGTCTGGTGGCATCAAGTTGACGACGGGCGCGGCGACAGCGGGGGCCGGCGGGTCGGTTCAGATTTCAGTTGGTGCTGGTCAGTTCTTTGACGGCGGTTCCATCAGTTTAGTCGCCGGAGAAACGTCGTCCCAAGGTCAAATGGGTGGCAGTGTCCAAATTGCCGGTGGGATTGGGTCGTCGCCGAACGCAATGGATGGTGGTGACGGTGGCAACGTCCAAATTCAAGGTGGTGCGGCCTATGGTACCAACTCATTGGACAACGGTGGTGCTGTCACGTTTACTGGTGGCACTGCAACATCTGGATACGGTGGCTCGGTCGCGATGACTTCGGGAACTGGCATGTCATCGTCGTCTGGTATGGTTGAGGTTCGAACGGCTAATGCTGGTGCTCGTGGGGTCAGTGGCCTTTTGTCGTTGCAAACCGGGACGTCGAGCTTTGGCAAGACTGGATCCATTACGTTGACCACGGGCAAAGCTACGGCGGGTAAAGGTGGCCACATGGCACTCTTTGTTGGGGACGGCGACACTGGTGAAGGTGGACACATCGTCGTTGGTGCTGGGATGACAACTGACACTCAAACGGGTGGGTACATCTCCATTGGCACGGGCTACAGTTTACAAACATCAAGCGGGGATCTTTCGTTGCGAACTCCAAACGCTGGTCAAAGTGGTGTTTCTGGAACGATGTCACTGTATACTGGCACGTCGAGTGCTGGTACGACGGGGGCGTTGCTACTTGCGTCGGGCACAGCAGTTGGTGGTCGTGGTGGTGACATCATCATGCTTGTTGGCACTGGTGACACTGGCGACGGTGGCGAAGTGGCCATCACTGCTGGTGAAACAACGAACCGACTTTCCGCCGGTGGTGCAGTGAGTATCACCGGTGGTGAAGGCAGTAGTACATTTTACGGTGGCGGCGGCACTGGCGGGTGGGTCAACATTTACGGTGGTGCTGCCCAAGGTGCCAACAAAAACGACAAGGGTGGATTTGTTCACGTCGAAGGTGGTTACGCACGAGCTGGTCGCGGTGGTGGCTTTTGGTTCCAAACTGGCTACGGTGAAGCGACTTCGAGTGGTGATATTCAAATGTCAACGTCGAACGCGGGCACGAAAGGCGTGAGTGGCAACATTCAACTGTTTTCGGGAACTACCAGCGCTGGCACAAGTGGTTCAATTTCTTTGGATACTGGAACTGCAGTGAAAGGAGCCTCGGGCTTTATTGCAGCTCGCGCTGGTGTGGGCGACACGGGTGTCGGAGGTATTGTAATGGACTCGACTTGACGAATCGCTCAAAACCGTGGCTAGGTCATGTATTTGTGTCCGCCGGTCGCACAACTGACAAACAATCGGGTGGTTCTGTCTTTGTCACGTCGGGCTTTTCCGATCCAACTTCCAGTGGTGACATTCGAGTTTCGACGGTGAATGCTGGTGTATCCGGCGTGTCTGGCTTGATTTCCCTCCAAACGGGAACTTCTAGTGCAGGCACCACAGGTATTGCTCATCACTGGTGCTCTTGCCGTGCCCCGAACGTGACCGACTTCTTCTAGGCATGGTCAATGTCCTGACGGGTAATGCAACTCGAGGCGCTGGAGGTAACATCACCATCATTGTGGGTGCCGGCGACACGCGAAACGGTGGTGGTGTCATCGTTGCTGCCGGTGAAACACGAGGTATATTGACGACGCTGTCTCGTCAAATTTACAGAGTATTCATCGTACATCACGTAGATGCTGCTTCTGTTGGCGGTACTGTTTCGCTGTCGGCGGGACTGGGCAGCAGCACCAATGCGGTGAATGGCGGTAGCGGTGGGGTTGTCCTCATCACTGGTGGTGAAGCCATGGGTCAAAATGCGATTTTGAACATTGGTGGACGGATTCGACTGCAGGGAGGAATTTCCGCGGCTGCGACGGGTGGTGCGATTGAAATTGCCAGCGGTTTCGGCCGCTCGACGTCAAGTGGTGATATTTCGATTACCACGTCGAATTCGAGCCTCAAGGGTGTCTCGGGAACCATCTCTGTTGGCACTGGCACGTCCTTCTTTGGTACGAGCGGGAACATCCAACTTACGACTGGGTACGCCGCCATTGCCAGCGGTGGCAACATTACGGCGAATGTTGGCACAGGCGCGAAAGGACCTGGAGGTGACATTGTGCTTGTGGCTGGAGAGACGTTGGATGCATTGGCCTCTGGTGGTCGTGTTAACATCACTGCTGGAATGGGAAGTAACACGCTCAGGTCTGGTGGTGGTCGCGGCGGTGCGTTGTCCATGACTGCCGGGTCAGCCTACGGCGGTAATAACCTTGATGCTGGTGGCAGCATGGATGTCGCTGGTGGTTGGGCTGCTGTTGGCACCGGTGGTTCCGTTCGCTTGGGCTCCGGCAAGAGCGCAGCGACGTCATCTGGAACTTTGGCTTTGTTCACTGCCGACGCAGGGACGGCGGGTATCAGCGGCATGATCACCATGTCAACTGGCAGGGCCACTGCCGGTCCGTCAGGTCTCTTTCAACTTTGGACTGGTGTGTCTACTGGTGGGTCCGGCGGTAGTATCAACATTGCAGTTGGTCAAGGCGATACTGGCGACGGCGGCTTTGTTGCCATTTCTGCTGGTACCACGAGTGCAATTGGTCGTACAGGCGGGTCTGTCACGATCTCCACTGGTGCGTCGCTTCCCATGAGCAGTGGTAACATTCAAATTCGCACGCCTGACGCGGGTGTCAGCGGAGTTTCGGGTAGTGCTACCATGTCGACTGGCACGTCTTCCAACGGCAACAGCGGTGCGATTACCCTCTCGACTGGTGTTGCGACAGGCGGTGCTGGTGGCACAGTGTTGATTTCCGTTGGGACCGGCAATACCAACAGCGGAGGTGACGTTTTTGCTGAAGCTGGTGACACTCTTGCCAAGTCATCTGGTGGTGGCCGCGTCGTTCTGATAGCCGGCGACGGGAAAAATCCTGACACGCAAGACGGTGGCCGGGGTGGCAACGTGATTGTGAGCGCCGGCAATGCGTTTGGCTTGAACCCGGTGTTGAACAGTGGTGGGAACATCTCCCTTACTGGCGGCAATGCAACCGCAAGTACAGGTGGCCGACTCACCTTTACCTCTGGCATTGGTTTTGCTACAACCAGTGGTGAAATCATCATGAACACGGCAAATTCTGGCGCCGCCGGCGTATCTGGATCCATCACGGCCTCCACGGGAATTTCCTCTGCTGGAAGCTCTGGCGGCATCACTCTGTCCACTGGCCTTTCATCCGGCGGTGCTGGTGGAAATGTTGTGTTATCGGTTGGCTCTGGAAATGTTGGCAGCGGGGGCAAGGTGCTCATTACAGCCGGCGAATTTCGTAGTTTTGCGACCGGTGGAGACGTCATTTTGACCTCAGGACAATCGTTGATGACTTCGAGTGGGACTATCCAACTGTCGACTGCTCGGGGTGGAGTGTCTGGCCAAAGTGGTATGGTTTCCATTTCGACGGGGACCACAACACTTGGTACATCGGGAGTCATTGCGTTGACAACAGGAAGAGCCACCGGCGGCCAAGGTGGCAACATTACTTTGTCCGTGGGCAACGGAACGCTCAACAGTGGTGGCAACATCATGCTCACGGCCGGTGTTACGACTGGTGTGGGTGGTACGGGTGGTTTTATCTCGTTGACGTCTGGAATCAGCACGTTGACTACAAGTGGTTCGGTGAACTTGACGACGGCAAATGCTGGGTTGTCTGGCGAGAGCGGCTTGATCAGCTTTTCGACTGGAGTTGCAACTGGTGGACGAGGATCGGGAAGCATCTTCATGCTGACTGGCAACGCTACCAAGGGCAATGCAGGCAATATCACGGTTGCAGTGGGCTATGGCGACACTGGGACTGGCGGCAATATCACAATTTCTGCTGGCGACACGTTTGATATCAAATCGTCGGGCGGTCGTGTCTACATTGTTGGTGGCAATGGATTGAGCACGGATGTCTCAAACGGCGGTGGTCGTGGTGGCCGCATTGATATTGCTGGTGGTATGGCTTATGGCCAGAACCCATCGTCAGATCTTGGGGGACCAGTCAGCATCAGCGGAGGGTGGTCTGCAATGGCGTCTGGTGGCTCGATATCATTGGTATCTGGTGCATCCAATGCTCTGAGCAGCGGGACTGTGTCCATTTCAACAGCTGATGCAGGCCCTGGTGGAGTCAGCGGAAGTATCACCATGTCGTCTGGATTGGCCAAATCGGGCAATTCGGGTCGAATATTGGTTGCATCTGGACCTTCCAACGCTGGCTCTGCTGGTTTTATCCAAGTCAGTGTTGGGAGTGCCACGGTTGGTACAGGGGGAGGCATCGTCCTGCGTGCTGGTAACACGACCGACTCGTCGGGAATTGGTGGTGAAGTTCAAGTATTTTCCGGTTCAAACGTGGCTTCTAAGAGCGGTGCTATCACTTTGAGTACGGCGGCTTCAACCTCCTCCGGAGACGTGTCCGTATTGTCCGGTACAAGCGCTGCTTCGTCGTCTGGCAACTTGAGAATTGCGTCTGGCGTTGCCACACTTGGTTCAGGTGGCAACATCAGCTTGATTGTTGGCTCGGGCTCCATTGGTACTGGAGGACATATTACTCTTTCAGCTGGGAATGCCACGCAAGTCCAAGGTGTGTCCGGAGGAAATGTTGTCATTGCAGCTGGGATGGGCACCAGTGCTGATAACAACAACGGTGGCGTTGGTGGAAACGTCCTTCTCAATGGTGGACGAAGCTTTGGTGGGGCCGCGTCAACTGACATTGGTGGTGCCGTGACAATTCAAGGTGGTATCGCCAATGCGGCTACAGGGGGCATGGTGTCCATTTCCAGCGGCATCAGCACCTCGTCGTTGAGTGGCGACGTTCAAATTGCATCGGGTGCAAGCTCATCGAATGCCGGCAGCGGCGTTGTCCGACTTTCCACCGGCACGACCAATTCGGGAGCATCAGGCTCTATTGTGCTATCCTCAGGCTTGTCGAGAAGTGGAAATGCTGGCAACATTGCTGTCGCACCTGGCGCGAGTTCTGCTGTAACAGGCGCGTCTGTCAGTATTTCGGCTGGTTTAAATTCGGGATTGACTGGTGGTACGATCACAGTAACAAGCGGTGCGTCTACATCAACCACGAGCGGTGCCTTCAACATTGCCACTGCCGCGTCTGGCCCGTTTGGAACCAGTGGAAACAGTTCGATCACAACTGGTTATTCTTCGACCGGTAGCTCGGGGAATATAGTCTTGTCGACGGGCAGCTCCAAGATAGGCAAACCAGGATCTATAATCATGACCCTGGGTACCGCCGAAGGCGGAGATGGTGCAGATATTGTTGTTGCTGGGGGCCCATCGCTTACTGGTATTGGTGGTGACGTGACCGTTTTGTCCGGAACGTCGGGTACTACGACAAGTGGCAATGTGAACATCATGACTTCCAACTCAGGCCTCCAAGGAGTCAGCGGTCGTATTGCTGTGACCACTGGGACGTCTCAAAATGGCCCATCTGGGTCGGTGGTAGTGTCAACTGGTGGGTCGAAAGGTGGATCTGCCGGCGAAATTTTTCTCAGTGTTGGGAATTCGTCCACAGCTGCTGGCGGTCAATTGAGGTTGCGTGCTGGCGATACTTCAGCAAATTTACAAACTGGGGGCTCCATTGCTATCCAGACTGGCCAAAGCTCAACTCAAAGCAGCGGAGCACTGTCCCTTCGTACCTCAAACGCAGCGACTGCAGGTTCGTCTGGCTCGATTGTACTGTCAAGTGGGACATCCGTGTCAGGGTCCGGAAGCATCGCCATTAACTCCGGCGCCTCGACATCTGCGTCCGCCGGCCAGATTGCTATGTTTCCCGGGAGAAGTCAACTCGTTGGCGGATTGATTGATCTGGATGGTGGAGCATCCGCCACTCAAACCGGAGGTGCGGTGACGTTGGCATCGGGTACAAGCACAATTGGTGCAAGTGGTGATGTCCAAGTCGCGTCCGCTGCATCAGGATCTGCTGCATCGGCTGTATCTGGAATGTTAGACCTGGAAACGGGCCCGTCAAGTTTTGGCTCGTCTGGACCTGTCATTATTAGTTCTGGGAATGCTGAAAAGGGGTCGGCAGGCCGAGTTACGGTGTCAGCCGGAAGCGGCGGTCAAGGCGGCAACATTGAGATGTATAGCGGCGATTCGACGTCGGCTGGCAACGATGGTGGCGCGATCATGATGACATCAGGGGTTGGAACCACTTCCTCCAAAAGTGGGGTCGTTATGATGGCTTCCAACTCCAACGCTGGATCCACTGGAAGTGCTTTTGTCTCTACCGGATCGTCGTCGAGCTCGGAATCTGGAAGCGTTTTTTTGACAACTGGATCCGGTGCATCAGGTGGAAGCATTGTGTTGAGCGTAGGAGAGAACTCGCGAGCTGCTGGTGGTACGATTACAATGACCGGTGGTTCTACCACGCAAGACTTGTCGAGCGGTGGCGGCATCAGTATTCAGGGTGGTTCAACGTCCAGGGCTACGTCTTCCGGTGGCGGAGTTGCAATCTCGGGTGGCAGTGGAAGTGGAACCAGCTTTCTATCTGGGTCGGCTGTCATTACCGGTGGCGCCAGCTCAACAGGCACGGGTGGTCTAGTTCGTTTAATAAGTGGTGCAAGCACGACTGGAACTACTGGTAGCGTTGACATCTCGTCTACAAATGGCGTCACCTCTGGTCGTGTCACATTATCCACTGGAAGTGCATCCAGTGGTTCTGGTGGTGCCATTTCCATTGCGTCTGGTGGTGGCCCCACTGCTGGTGGAATCAGTTTGTCGATTGGTTCGAGCTCGTCGGCTTTGGTTGGAGCAAATATGTCCTTGTCGGCTGGCGCTGCCCCAACGGGAGGCAATATCAACATCCTCTCTGGTTCGAGCTCCACGTCATCTGCAATTTCGACGACGGGAAGCGTAAACGTTGCCACGTCAGACAGCTCGAATGTGGGTGGCTCTGGAGGAATGACATTTTCCACTGGCAACGTCGTCAACGGGATTGCCGGAACAGTAAATATTCGAGGTGGCGCTGCTACAGCTGGAACCGGTGGGTCCGTTGGTGTGACTGCTGGTGCAGGCGATATTGGTGGCAGCATTATCCTTGGCGCGGCTAACAGCAGACAAACGGGTGCGTCGGGTGGATCGATTCAGTTGGTGTCTGGGACTAGTGCTACCGGGACAACTGGAACACTGACGTTGAGTACTGCAAGTGGAACTACAACCAGTAGCTCTGGAAACGTCAACGTGGCAACAGGAATCTCAACGGGGGCGACCCAAACGAGTGGTCAAATTAGTTTGACGACTGGAAGTTCAACTTTGAGTCAAGCAGGATCGGTGGTGTTGTCCGCTGGAAGCTCTTCCGTAACGGGAGCTACGATCACATTGACGGCGGGTGCCTCCACGACCTCCTCTGGTGGAAGCATTGCACTCACATCTGGGGGTGCACCCATCAATAGAGCGACGGGTCAAATCACCATGTCAACAGCATCCTCTGCTACAACTGGAACATCTGGTTCAGTTGCTCTGACGACTGGTACTTCTGCCGCCATGGCTGGGTCTGTTGTAATTAGCACCGGCAATGCAACCGCGGGCGTTGGAGGTGATGTAATCCTTTCTGCTGGACTGAGTTCAAGTACACCTGGCAATATCGGGCTTGTTGGTGGGTCCTCGTCCAACCTGAACGGCGGCAATATCTCGATTGTGTCTGGAAGTGGCAAGACTGTGTCGGGGAATGTGATGATGGCTTCTGCGAATGGCTTGACGAGTGGAATTATTGGAATTTCAAGTGGTGTTGCAACAACGGGAAGTGCCGGTCAAGTTCAAATTGCCACTGGCAGCTCCAGCAGTGGCGCTGGCAACATTGCCCTTTCCATCGGAACCGCTACCAGCAGCCAAATTGGTGGCAATATTACCCTATCGGCGGGTGCATCTACATCTGGCGCTGGTGGGTCCATCTCAGCTGTAACTGGTGGCGCCGGCACGAACACTGGGAATTTCACTGTCGGGACTTCCAGTGGAGTGAACACGGGGCTTGTTGCCATCGGTTCTGGGACAGCTTCGAACAATGCTGGAAAAGTTTCCGTGTTCACCAGCAATGGGGCAAGCAGCGGTGATATTGCAGTCAGCGTTGGCGCCAGCTCAGCGTCACAAGGCAATCGGTTGACCCTTAGCGCTGGTGCTTCGACGTCGTCTACAGGAGGTGTCGTCTCTTTGACCTCTGGTTCAACTTCAAGCGGAACAAGTGGTTCTGTTGTTATTGGCTCGTCTGCCGGTTCTGGAAACTCTGGCTCAGTAGTGCTGAGCTCCAATGCTGCAACTTCAGGGAGCTCTGGATCGATTACTGTTTCAAGTGGTGGCTCATCGGATGTTACGGGTGACTTAACCCTTCAAGTGGGCAACTCTGCAACTCAGAACGCTGGGACACTTACTGTCGTGGGTGGCTCGACAACTGGTGTCACGGGAGTTGGTGGCACAATTTCAATCACATCTGGACGGAGCACATTTGCCACAGGCGGTAGCGTTGTTTTGAACGCCGGGCAAAGTACAGGGTCTGTTGGGGGAAGCGCGACGTTGTCTGGCGGGTCAAGTACAAATTCCGTTGGAGGCAGCGTACAAGTTTCGTCAGGCAGTACCTCTGCTGGTTCGTCAACCACTGGCTCGGTCGCAGTCTCGTCAGCATCCGCTCTCGTTGGGAAGAGTGGATTAGTGTCGATTGGATCTGGAAGTGCCTCCGACAACTCTGGAAATCTCGTTCTTTCCACGGGATCATCTACAACGGCCCAGTCTGGAAATATGACCATCTTGACTGGTTCTGCCAAAGGTTTGGCTGGTAGTATTGGCCTAGCCGCTGGGAATAGCAGTGCATCCACTGGCGGGACCGTGACGCTGAAGTCTGGAACAGGAACTGCTTCAACAAGCGGAGACATCATCGTAGCCACTTCCGACAGCGGAGCTACAGGTGCATCTGGCTCAATTAGCCTTCAAACTGGAGATGCCAACGCCCAAGGTGGAGGAGGAGTAACTATCACTACCGGAAGCACGACTGGTGCCACTGATGGTGGTTCCATCACTTTGTCTGTTGGCACAACATCCACTGGGGCATCTGGAGCTATTCGTTTACTTGGAGGCGAATCTGCTGGTTCTGGTGGTCCCATCTCCTTGTTTTCTGGTCCAAGCACCGTTGGAGCGTCCGGGGGAGTTGCCCTGGGGACATCGGATAGCCCTGTCAGTGGGGATATTATGGTTGGCACTGGAAGTGGTTCGTCGTCGTCAGGGCAACTCATTTTGAACACTGGCAGTGCGACGAATGGGCCAACCGGTTCAATTTCTCTGTTTGTTGGCGCTGCGTTGAAAGGTGCAGGTGGTAACGTTGCAATTTCAGCTGGAAATTCGTTGTCCGACGCGCCAAGCGGGAATATCAACATGGTTGCTGGTGGAAACGCTGGGTCAACGTATGCGAGCGGTTCAATTGGACTCACTACTGCCGATGCGAAATCCACTGGTGCCATTCAACTGACGACAGGAAGCGCCAGTTCCAGCGCTTCTGGTGGGCTTACTTTGTCGACTGGTTCATCTGCTGCTACAAGCGGTTCAATTTCGATTGGCGGTGGATCCAGCGGAGCAGCATTCGGCTCCACTCTGTCAATAGTCAGCGGCAACTCGACGACTGGCACTGGTGGAACGGTTGTGATATCTGGCGCAAGGGGAGCGATGTCTTCTGGCGACATTATTGTTGAGACTGCTGACAGCGCTGGAAGTGGATCGCTGTTCATTTCTACTGGTGAAGCGACCACGGGAAATGCAGGCGGAATTGCTGTTCGTACTTCAGCTTCGTCGTCTGGGTCGGGCGGCAACATTCAAATGACGGTTGGTTCAGCCGCTGTTGGTGGCAACGTGGTTATTCGAGCTGGAGCTACAACAGGTGCCAATGACGGTGGATCGCTGACCTTGGCGTCTGGAGGAAGTGCAACTGGACTGAGCGGAAGTGTGTCTCTTGGATCCTCGAGTGGAGCATCGTCGGGGTCATTGTCCCTTGCAACCGGCGTCGCGACCGCAGGTGCGTCTGGACAAATCCAGCTTTCAAGTGGCGGTTCTACAACGACGGGCGGCTCAATTCTTCTGTCGTCTGGAGCTAGCTCCGGAAATGTCGGTGGCAATATTGTTCTTAGTGCTGGAGGGAGCGGTTTGGGACCGGGTGGCAAGATTAGTATCAGCTCAGGCGATGGAACGACCAATTCTGGAAACATCAACATTGCTTCCAGTACTTCGACCGCTGGGAACTCAGGAAATGTTGTGATGTCTTCGGGCGCATCAACAACTCTAGACAGTGGTTCGGTTGCGATTTCTTCTGGCGACTCGACGGCTGGAGCTGTTGGGATGGTCAGCTTGTCTGCAGGAACAGCATCTGCTGCAGCTGGTGCGTCGGTGCTTGTTCAAGCAGGTGCATCCTCTTCGCTCTCTGGCGGCAGTATGTTTGTCCAATCTGGGTCAGGTGCATCAACTGGTGAAGCTTTGTTCGGTTCTGCTGCTGCAACAGGCGCGGCCGGCGCGAGTGGCTCAGTAACTGTTACGTCGGGCGATTCCAGTGGTGTAAGTACAGGGGACTTGACGCTCGGTAGTGGTTCTTCCACCCTTGGAAGCGCGGGGCTCATTCAAATTTATGCTGGCCAGAGCGCCACAGTTGGGTCCAGCGTGTATATCCAAGGCGGCCAAAGCTCCACACTCGATGGCGGTTCAGTGTCCGTTCAAGGTGGTTCTGCGACAAGTGGAGACGGAGGTGGGTTGACGCTAACTTCCGGTGGCGGGGTCACATCAGGTACAATTGGCATCTCGAGCGGAAGTCCCCAAACGGGGGTTAGCGGAGCCATCGCCATTCAAACGGGCAACGCAGCTGCCGCAAACAGTGGTGCGCTGTCCCTGTTGACGGGGACGAGCGACTTGGCAAGCGGTGATGTTGCAATTGGTGCTGCTGCTGGTGGTGCTCAAGGTGGTTCGGTCAAGCTTGCAGCAGGAAGCTCAACCAAGGGTACTGGTGGCGCTATCAGTATCAAGGGTGGCACCAGCACAACCAACACGGGTGGGAACATTGATGTAATCCCTGGAAGTGGTGCTACTTCAGGTTCTATTACACTTGCTTCACCGGACAAGTCAGGATCGATCGTTGTTGGAGGAGATGGCTCTCTCACTGCAACTACCGCAACAACTGCGACGTTGAACCTTTTTGGTGGCAGTGCAGCCAACAACACGCTGCAATCTGGAGAGTGGACATTTAGCCATGCCGAATCACCGATCACAGGCAATGTGAACTTTCGAATGCAGAAAGATCGCATTGTGAGTCATGTGCCTGCGTCGTTTCCGGTCTCGACAACCCCGTCAGATCGTCGAATCAAGACGGAAATCGAAGACGTGGACCAGAACGACATTCTGCACCGAATGCAATCCCTTGAAGTCAAGCAATATCGGTACACGAAAGAATGGCAATCTATTGGCCATGTAAACGACGAGATTGTGCGCGGTGTAATTGCTCAGCAAGTTGCTGAAACGTTCCCGGAATACATTCACCGTTCCGATTACCACTTCCCCGAAAAGAACTTCACGATGGGACAATTTCACGAAGTCAACAAGCACCTCCTCACCATCGATTTGCTGGCTGCCATGCAAGCGCATCATCGAAGATTCACCGTTGGGCGAAACAACGACGCCTCGACTGCTTCGATTCACCTGACAACGGAAGATGCCGAGAACAAGGGCACTGGCGATGTTTTGGTACGATCGGGCGAGTCCAGTGCGCTCAACTCTGGGCGTACGCTGATTCAAACTGGCGACGGCGTGCAAACAGGTTCCATTCTCATGAACGTTGGCACTGCACAATCAACTGCTGGGTCGATTCAGTTGCATTCGGGCAGTTCGAAGACAATTGGGGGTAATGTTCAAATGGTTAGCGGAAGCGGAGACAAGAGCGGCGCCATTGGCCTCAAAACTTCCGAGGCTTACCAGAGTGGGACCGTTCACTTGGCGACCGGGCATTCGAAACAGAATTCTGGAGTAATTGCCCTCCGGAGTGGTGACGCTTCTGAGACTACGGGATCGATTGAGTTGTCAACTGGCGATTCAACAAACCATGAATCTGGTGCAATCAAGATTTCTAGTGGGAAAGGTATAGTCGGTGGAAACATCGACATTGCATCTGGAAACGGTCCGTCAGCGTCAGGGTCAGTGTCTTTGACGAGTTCCAGCAGCTCAGAGCGTAGTGGGTCAATTCTGGTAGCCACTGGATCTGCTCCCACGGATGGCTCCATTCAATTCCGTCAAGGCTCGGCTCTACACAACGCTGGATTATCGCTAGACACTAACGTCGTGTTGCAATCTGGGGGCACGGGCAAAAGTGGTGCGGTTATCATTCAAACTGGCCACGATGTCGTTGATCAAAGCGGTGATTTGAAGCTCCATACCGGTGAAAGCACCCAACAACCCGGCAAGATTGATATCTTCCCTTTGGCTACAACTGGCGATCACGGAGGTGCCATTCGTTTGCGTGGTGGAAATGCCAGTAACTCTGGCGGAGATGTTCAAGTTCAAGGCGGACACGCAAGTGCAGATGGGGGTTCCGTCACGATTTCTTCTGGATCCAACAAGCAAGGCTTGCAAGGAAAGGTTACGATTGGTGCTGGCACCGCAGCGGTTGTGACCGACGATGCAAGTTTGAACGCCAAAGATTCTGCTGAGATCGGCAGCTCGAAAATGACCTTGTCAGGGAGCGAGAGAGTCACGATTTCAAGCGGAAATAGTGGCCGCGGAGAAAGTGCTGTGGTCTTGACCAGCGGCGGGTCTGCTACGAGCCAACTTCGGGACGACCCACGAATTGTTGTTGGTTCCGAGAACGACGGTTCCATTTCGTTGCAGAGTGGTGCCTCTGCAAAGAAATCGGGAGATGTGTCCGCGACGACAAGCTCTTCCTCCACCGAAAGCAGCGGCAAGATTCGCTTGACGACGGGCGACTCAAAAGCAACATCTGGCGACTTGGCATTTCAAACAGGTTCGGCCCAACAGGCCGGAAACATCCATCTTAAAGTTGGAACAAGCGACGGCGTCGGCTCGTCCATCGCACTATCTGCGGGCGATGGAACCAAATCTGGAGGTTCAATTCACATGAAAACAGGATCTGCAGATGAATCGGGCAGGATCCTTCTCGAAAGTGGATCTAGTCAAGGGAAACTGGGCTCCATTCAACTGAAGTTGCAAGAAAGCAAAGGCGAATTGGGTACCATCTCGCTCGAAACATCGCAAGGAACGTCTGGTGGTCACATTCAATTGAAGACAAGCAATACAGCATCAAATATTGAAGCATCTAGTGGCGGTCGAGTTCAAATCAGCTCCGGAAAATCAAGCGATGTGGTTCTTGAGTCTGGTTCCGCCGGGGGCTCCATTCGCCTGCAAGGTGGAAACGGTGCTCGTTCGGTTGGTGGAAACGTCGATCTCTTGGCCGGAGAATCTGGAGCAGTCAACATTGTTGGAGGGCAACTCGCGGAGGGTACCCAACAAGGAAGCAGTCGTGGTGGTGATGTTGTCATTTCAAGTGGTCAAGGAACTTCGCAATCTGGACAACTAGTCCTCAAGTCAGCTGCTGCGGATGAAGCCGGTGATGTGTTCATTCGTGGTGGCGAAAGTCGTGTGGGTGATGGCTCAAACCTTCTCTTTACCAGTGGTGGATCTGTTCAATCCAAGAGTGGTTCTGCCTTCATTTCGACACAAAATGGAAGCCCCGAAAGCGGTGTCGTTTTGGTTTCGTCTGGCCAGGCTATCAAATCATCTGGGATGGTAAAGTTGACATCTGGAAATGGCACAATGGCAGGCAACGTCGATGTCCGCGCCGGCACAAGCTCGAGTGGTGTTTCTGGTATGGTGACCATTCAAGGAGGACATTCTGCGCTTGAAAACGGTGGCCATTTGAATCTACTCGGAGGCGACTCTGCTGCGAATGGTGGCGATGTCATTGTTCGTGGTGGCACTGGACCGAAAAAAGCAGGCTCTGTTGACGTTTCAGGCGACCAAGTTCGACTGTGGAGTGCCGAAGGCGGTATTGCCTTGACGACGAGTGGACACCAATCATCGAATGATATTACCCTTGCCTCCGAACGTTCCACAACGCAAGGTGGGTCAATTCGCCTTGCAAGTGGCAGCAGTGACAGTCAAGGTGGCCATGTTGTCTTGACGAGTGGTTTCTCTGGGTCTGGCTCTGCGGGACATATCGATGTGATTGGTGGCGGGGCCTCCGAATCTGATGGAGGGTCTATTCATTTGTCGAGTGGAATGTCCGAGAAAGGCAAATCTGGCTCGATTGAAATTCAAACGGGACAAGGCGGCACCACTTTGCTGAATTCCGAATCGGAAACCATGATTCAAGCTGCAACGCTAGACGTCCGAGGAAATTCTGTGTCCATTTTGTCAAAGGATGCAATGGTTATGGGAGCAACGAACGGACCTGTTTCCATTTCTACTGCCAGCAACAATGTCAATGGCTCGATTTCAATTTCTGCTGGTAAGTCAACTTCCGGGGCTTCTATCACGATGCAGGGCGGTGAGTCCACAACATCCAATGGCGGCCACGTCGTGATCAATTCTGGCATGGGTGAAACAATTAGCGGAGGTGTGAACATTGGTTCTGCTAGTAGCCGAGACAGCTCTGGCTCAGTTGTCGTGAGTACTGGTGCAAGCTCGATTGGTAACTCTGGCGACATACAGCTTGAAACAGGCGCATCTCAGTCCAATGGTGGCTCAATCAAAATTGCAAGTGGTCGTGTCCTTTCTTTGTCAACAAATGATAACGGCGGAATTACAATCGACAGTGGGCGACTTGGTGAAGTGAAGATGCGTTCTGGAAGCGAAGGAATTGTTCGTGTTGCAAGTGGGCATAGTCCTTCGAGCCCAAGTCTTCAACTCGATGGCCCCTCTGGCTCTGTGACGCTATCTGCTGCATCTGGAGACTCAGCTGGAGCTGCAATTATTTCAGGTGGTGAATCGTCGACAGACGTCGGTGGTCAAGTTGTTGTGACAAGTGGAGGTGGCAAAGTGTCTGGTTCTGTCCAAGTCACGACACCAAGTGCTCCTACTTCTGGTAGCATTGACATTTCAACGGGCTCCAGCGATTTGTCTGGTGCACTTCAGATCTCTACTGGCGCCGCTACATCGTCTTCAGCAGGATCGATCGCCGTGCGTGCAGGATCATCGCTTTCTGGTACCCCTGGTGGAGTGGAATTGCTCGCCGGAGATGGTTCTGCCTCGGGTGGGAGCGTTTTGCTCCAATCGGGTACAGGACTCCACACCGGGGGAAGCCTAGCTCTCCGCAGTGGCAACTCGTCATCTACTGGTGGCGATGTTGGCATTGTGTCTGGGCGGGGTACTGACGCCAGCGGAAACATCGTAATCCAAACTGAGTCCGGCGTCACGTCGGGGTCAGTGCAGCTTCGATCTGACCATGGCACGAAGGAATCTGGAGAAGTGAAGATTTCCACCGGTGGCTCTGACATCAAGTCAGGATCGGTTGTCATATCCAGCGGTGATGCGGCATCTAGTGGCTCCATCATGACTTTGGCTGGAAGTGGCGCTGATGTGATCACCAAGGCTGGAAACAACAAAATCCTTGGAGGTAACATTGTGCTGACGTCGGGAAGTGGCACATCGTCTGGAGGTAACTTCGAGGCCTATGGCGGTGCTGGCTCTGTGGGCGGCCGTACAATTGTCTCTGGAGGTCGTGGGCAAAGCTTCAGTGGTGGCACCTTAGCCCTTCAAGGTGGGCAAACTACAGGCTCGGGCACCGGTGGGGATGTTCAAGTCGTCGGTGGTGAATCAACCAACCAAGGAGGATCCGTAACAATCCAAAGTGGGGATGGATCTGCTGCTGCCGGAGATGTTGTGCTCAATGCAACGCCTACGGCGTCACAGCAGGGAGGCAAATTTTCAGCGTCAGCGGGAGGCATCCGTTTGACGACCAGCTCATCCAACGATGGGGGACATTTTGAAGTCAACGTTGAACCGTCGCCATTACTCCAGGGAGGCAATATAGTGTTCTCGTCAGGGCAAAGCATTGGTCAAGGCGGCGACTTTACCGGTTTGGGTGGTGTTGGAACCACACAAGGCGGTTCGATTCGTCTGAGTGCTGGTTTGAGCCAATCCATCGGAGGGAATTTGGAATTTAGCAGTGGTGGTGGTGACGCGAGCAGTGGCCACATCAAGTTAATATCGCCCCGCTCCGCTGGACAAAGTGGCGAAATCACACTGTCTTCGTCCAGTGGCTCTACCTCTGGATCCATTTCGATGTCAACTGGAGATGGAAATACTGTTGGCAGTATCGTGTTGTCCACTGGGACATCAGCGGCAACGGCCGGCGATGTCAGAATTACCACTCAAAACGACGGAATTTTGAGTGGAAGCGTCAAAGTCGACACTGGAGCAGGTGATTTTAGTGTGACAAGTGGCCCAATCAACCTTGAGAGCATGAAAGGGATTCAAGTGTCGTCATCTAACCACGATATCGTCGTTGAATCTGCCAATGGAGGAAATATTCGCCTACAAGGTGGCGAGTCTCTGTCCAACCCTGGCGCGTCAATTTTGCTGTCATCTGGCGATGGCTTGATGAATGGAAGCGGTGATATTGTCTTGTCGACACCAAATAACGTGCAACAGTCTGGAAAGATCTCCCTCACAACTGGTGCTGCGCCCCAGGGTGGAGAAATCGAGGCTTCAACCGTTGGTTCGGTAAAGATTCATGGTGGTCGATCAGGAAGTTTGAGCATTTTCAATGGGTCCATGGCGTTGGTTGCTGGGGACTCCCAAACGAGTGGTCGGCTTGAATTACACTCCAGTGGACAAGTCGTGATTTCAACGAAAGCGCAAGATTCCGTTTCAGGAGCCATTTCTGCAATCACTGGAGTGTCGAAGATCCAATCTGGTCAAGCGCTGTTTGCCAGCGGAGAGTCTGAACGAAGCAGTGGAGATGTCAAAATCACCAGTGGAGACAGCACTTCAGCCACCGCTGGGAACGTTTTCATGGGAACTGGAATGTCAAATTCAGTCGAAGGAGCTCGACTGTCGTTGTCGGGTGGCTCGAACAAGGCTGGAAAAGGCAGCACCTTGTCCTTCACTGCAGGTGAAGGCACAGCTGGCGGCGAGATTCGTGTTTTTGGTGGCCAGGCCCTAACGAACGGTGGCAACGTTCATATTGCTGGTGGGAAAAGTGATCGGATGGCAGGCGCCGTTCTTATTGAAGGGGGTACAAGCCAAGATCAAGGCGGCGACTTGAGTTTGACCGGCGGTGAAAGCGGTGCAAACGGTGGCGGCGTTACCGTATCTTCAGGCTCTGGCGACAAGTCCAGTGGCGAATTACTCGTGCAGTCATCAAATTCGGCAGTAAGTGGCACAGTTCAGCTCCAAACTGGAACTGGATTGACAACATCGGGAAGCGTTTTGCTCCACACTGGTGCTGCCCAAGGAAGTGGATCCATTGATATTTCAACCGGGCAAAGTGCGTCGTGGTCAGGAGGTGTATCATTCAAGAGTGGCCGTGGTACTTCGAGCGGCGATGTTGAAGTGTCGGTTGGATATTCCCACGCAACAAGTGGATCTTTAAGACTTATGGGTGGTGCCTCAGAAATTCGTACTGGAGGCTCTGTGATCCTTACGAGTGGAGCAAGCGAATCAAGTTCTAGTGGTGATGTTGCTGTTGTGACTGCACGGTCCAACTCTGCTCAATCGGGGACACTTTCTCTGGGAACTGGGGATGCCAACACTGGCGGCTCTGTTCAAGTTCAAGTTGGGTCAAGCACGTCGGGTCAGGGCGGTCACCTTTCTCTTCGTGCTGGCAACGCTGAATCGCACAAGGGTGGCGACGTCGGGATTTCTGCTGGATCCAGTCCTCATGGTGCTGGAGGGTCGATTCGCATTCGCAGCGGAGCGTCGACTACTCAAGCTGGTGGATCGATCAGTATTGACAACACCGAAGAAAATGGTCGAAGTGGCAGCATTTCATTGCTTGCCGGACAAGCTGGATTTGTGAACATTTCTACTCAATCCAACGGGACGATCTCGTTGAATACTGAGGGTGGTAATGTGGAAACAGTGTCGAAGAGTAAAGTTTTGGCACATGGTGATGACCGCGTCAAGCTGAGCTCTCAAAACAAAGTCGAATTGACAACTCAGAGCAGTGCTCATATCAACTTGGACGGTGATGTGGACATTGCAAGTGGTCAAGACCGTTCCATCCAATTGATGAGTGGGGGATCAATGGTGCAAGAAGGCAGCTTTATCAGCCTTCGAACACGGAGCTCGAAAACCACTGGTTCAATACGACTAGAAACGGGAGATTCGGAGGCCTCAGGAACTGGTGCCATCGAACTCGTGTCTGGCCCAGCCGCGGACAAGTATTCATCTGGCCCGTTGTCGTTGTCCACCGGGTCAAGCCTTGGCAGCTCTGGTGACGTGCATCTGAAAGCTGGGGAGGCTTCGGTACGTGGAGGGGCGCTGGAGTTAATTGCTGGCGCTGGTTCCCTTGGTGGTGCAGCCCTCCTTCAAGGCGGAAGTGGCAAAAGTGGAGGCCATGTCCAAGTCGTTGGTGGATCATCATCCGATTTTGGTGGCGATGCTGTCGTTCGCGGTGGGCTCACCGGGGCTTCAATCAAGGTTGGCGGTAACAGCATCACAAAGGGTGGCGTCGTGAACCTATTCGCTGGCACCGCTGACGAGCTTGGTGGCGACGTCTTTCTCTCTTCTGGAGGTGGATTAAGCTCCGGTGTTATTGCGGTCGAAACCATGAGAGGTGAACACATTTCTGGATTGTTCGCTGTAAAAACTGGATCAGCAAAGACGCAAACAGGATCGATTGCGCTTTCTTCTGGCTCACAAGCGGACACATCGGGAGAAGTGCTGATTTCCACCGGAACATCAAAGTATTCGGCGGGAGGCATTCAGTTAACCGCCGGGGCGAGCGACGCTGCAGCTGGTGGTGAAATTGTACTGCGTGGGGGAACTGGACATGTTGGTGGCTCAATTGATATCAAGAGTGGCGTCGGCTCAGCTGGTAGCGGTGGCGACGTGACAATCGGTGCATCACCCTCAACTACCGCTCCCGGCAGCAAATTGTATTTGTTTTCTGGGTCTGCCGCTGATCTATCACAGCCTGGCGGTGGTGTTGAAATTGCTGCGGGAGACGGACTTGTTGGCGGCAGTCTGGCAATTAGCTCAGGTGGGGGCGCAACCGGTGGATCCGTTGCCTTGCGAAGTCAAGGTCGAGACATTTCCGGCGACTTCGAAGTTCTCACCTCTGGTGCCATGATGAAATCGGGAAGCGTTGCTGTTCGAACTGGTTCAAGCGTTGGCGGAAGCTCTGGTCGCGTTCGACTGCAAACTGGTGACAGCACTCAAGCTGGTGGGATTGACATCGTACAAGGTTCGAGCACGACAAATGCAGTCGATGGCGTTTCGATTCTCAGTGGCTCGACGACCGCTGTCAAGGGCGCCAACATTCGAATTGAATCTGGCGCGGGAGCTCAATCCTCGGGCGACGTTCGAGTGGTTACGGGTCAAAACGCCGGAACAAGCGGTGATGTGACCTTCAGTACTGGCGACAGCGACCAATCCGGTGGAGTTGTACTCTCTACGGGCGATTCCTTGGAATCTCCTGGAAGTATGAAGATTCAACCTGGTTCGTCGAAGGCTGGGATCGGCGCTACCGTTTCAATTTCAGGTGGCGGCTCTGAAAAACGTTCAGGAGGCGCGATCCAAGTCACCGGTGGTTGGAGCCAACATGGAATTAGTGGTGCTGTAGACATTTTGTCATCGGATGGGTTCCTGGGAAGTGGAGGAATTCGACTTGTTTCTGGAGCCAGTGAAAGGGGACCATCTGGCAGCATTCTCGTCTCAGCTGGACCATCGTCTGCGCCAACGGGTTCGCAAGTGAACATTTTTGCAGGACAAGGATTGTCCGGCGGTGCAATTGCTATTGCTGGTGGAAAGGGCCTCGACCATGATGGGGGAATCGTTGAGGTTACATCTGGGCCAGGAAAAGCAATTTCTGGATCAGTGTCGATTTCAACTGCTGAAGGCGCAACCAGTGGTGATATTGCCATCACCACACGTACTGCGAGTACAGCAAGCGGATCCATTACGATAAAATCCCAACCTGCCGTCAAGACTGGCCACATCACCATCGAAACATCCAACGGCGACACCAACACAGGTTCAGTATCCATATCAACTGGAGCATCCCAAGGTCAAGTCGGAGCTGCAGCAATTCTTTCTGGATCAAGCATCAGTCAAACTGGTGGTGAGATTCGCGTCGTTGCGGGCGGATCGGAAGCAAGTGTTGGAGGCGTTGTCCACATTGCAGGTGGTCGCAGTTCCAGTACGGGCGGCTCCGTCGATGTGCTGGGAGGCGAAGCAACAGCTGTCGGTGGTGGCGTTCGAGTACGCAGCGGACCAAGCGGTGTTGGAGTATCGGGCGACGTGCAAGTGGATACGTCGGATGGTGCTGCTAGCGGAAACGTCGTCCTTGCGAGTGGTCGCGCCACGCAAAGTGGGTCTGGCAGTGTGATAATTTCTTCCGGACCTTCACAAGCCAGTACTGGATCAGTCAAGGTCACTGGTGGTGCGAGTGCTTTGGGATTGGGCGGCAACATTGACGTCCAAGCTGGAACGGGTGCCACGGGTGGCAGTGTGTCGATCCAAAGTGGGATGGGCGACGTGTCGGGCTCAGTTACTGTGCAATCGGTGACATCGTCGACAGTGAGTGGCACTGTTGCGGTCCACACGGGTGACAGCTCATCGACTTCTGGTTCGCTCCAACTCGGTTCTGGCTCGGCGGGTGCCGGCACGTCTGGCGACGTTGTGGTGGCATCTGGTGGCAGCACCAACGCTGTCGGCAGGGTGTCGATTCATGGTGGCCGTGGAAGCAGCCAAGGCGGTCAGGTAGATGTTGCGTCTGGGAACAATGCCGACCTGGTGCTGCGGACGATTGGGAGCCGCAACCAACTTGCAGGAAGTGTGAAGCTTTCTGCAGGAGACAGTTCTGGAGGCCCACTCGGTGCTGGCGTGGAAATCGTCGGTGGTCGCGTGATCGATGCCCGAGACGCTGCGGCGGCTGGCGGAGTGCGCCTCGTCGGCGGCAATGGTGAAGACCGCGTGCTTGGAGGTGATGTTTCCATTCAAGGTGGACGGTCGACTGCTGCAGGCGGCTCAGTTCGTGTCACCAGCGGCTCGGGTGGTACGCGCAGTGGTGACGTGACTCTCGGATCGGAGGTCAGCAGCGAAAGCGGAACTGTGTCCATTCGTACCGGTGCAGGCACTGCGACGTCAGGAGCCCTGTCGTTGCAAAGTGGCCCCTCGGAGACTTCTGCTGGGCCGGTGCGTGTTGCTACGGGTGCCAGTGCGGGTGACGTTGGTTCGCTCGACATTGAAGGTGGAGAGAGCTCCAGTGGCATCGGTGGCCGTGTTGTCGTCAATACTGGCACTGGAAAGCTCTCGAGCGGAGCTCTGGAATTGTCAACTGGAGCGTCTCCAACATCTGGCACAGTCGCAATTGCTTCTGGCAAATCGTCAGACAAGTCTGGGTCTGTCTCAATCGCGTCGGGGACGTCAAAGGCGACGGCAGGCGCCGTGTCCATCCATGGTGGCGAGGGCGATGTCGGTGGGTCTGTGGCGGTTGGTGGCGGCGAAGGTGTGCAGCAGAGCGGGTCCGTTCGCATCACGTCTGCGTCCACGACCGTACAATCTGGTGGTATCACACTGGCCTCGGGAGACGCGTCCGATGTGTCGGGCCTGATTCAGGTGACCACTGGGGATGCACCTCAAGCAGGTTCGCTTGTGCTCGGCACGGGCGTCTCCCAGGGGCCCAACACTGCAGGCTCTGTGACAATCCAAGGCGGGAAGTCCGACCTGATTGGTGGCAATGTGGCTGTTTTGAGTGGGGCCGGTGAGGCGAGTGGTGAACTCCTTGTACAGACCTCGTCATCGCGTCGCTCGGGCGAGGTGGTGATTGGATCAGGAACGAGTGCCACTGAATCGGGCCGTGTGGGTCTGGTGTCTGGAGCGGGTGAGTCGTCAGGACAAGTGGAGATCACGTCGGGCGATGCAACCAAGCTCCGCTCTGGCGCTGTTCGCGTGACAAGTGGTACAAGTGCCAGCTCTGGTGAGTTGGAGCTGTCGACGGGTGTATCCTCTGCGGCATCTGGCGTTGTGTCGATCTCGTCTGGAGCGGGTCCTCAGGCGTCTGGTGCGATCCGCATCGAGAGCGGAGCTGGGATGGCGTCTGGCTCAGTTGCAATTTTGAGTGGCGATGGCTCTCAGAGCACTGGCGACGTAACTGTAGCCACGGGCAAGTCGGGCAGCTCGTCGGGTGCCGTGCAATTGACGTCTGGTCCGACGGCTTCGGTGGAGTCGGCTTCGATGACACTAGCTGGACAGGGCATCACGATTGCTTCTGGTGCGAGCAAGACGGGGTCGTTTGTTCACTTGCGGGCTGGTAAGGCGACATCAGGAGAGACTGGTGGTGCCGTGGAAATTGTCAGTGGTGGTGGGGCCATGAGCGGCCCTCTCCGTGCTGAGTCGGCGACAGCTGCATCCTCGGGTGACGTGTCCTTCGCGTCTGGCGAAGGGTCGACGGACTCCGGCGCTGTAGTTGTGCAGTCCGGATTCGGCGGTGCCTCGTCTGGCGCTGTAGATATCCGCACTGGCGCGAGCAACGGATCGACTGGGAAGGTTGGCATTACTTCTGGCCGCAGTGAAGAAGCCACCGGAGGCGACGTGAGCATTTCGAGCGGGGGATCAAGCAAAGGCGTCGGTGGCACGATCACCTTGTCGTCGGGTACATCGCCCCAGGCCGGCAGCATCCTGCTGAAAGTGGGTGATGCAGCAACAAACGCTGGAACGATTCAACTCAAGTCGGGTTCGGCAACGGCTGGTGAAGGTGGACCTGTCATCCTTTCGGGTGGCGAGTCTTCCACGTCGTCTGCGGGTGGGGCCATTGAAGCAATCGGTGGCACTAGCCAAGGACAAGTGGGTGGTGGTGTGCGATTGACCTCGGGCAGTGGCTCCAGCGGCAGTGGAGCGGCTCGAGTGTCGACTGCTGACAGTTCGAAGCGCACGGGCGACCTCTTGTTGGAAACTGGCGCTGCGGACGGGGTCAGTGGCAACATCAAGCTGTCCGTGGGAAGCGCGGAAGACAAGGTCGGCGCGTTGGTCGTCTCTGGCGGCGACTCGGTTGCATCCAGCGGCGGAAACACGTTTGTGCAAGCTGGGTCTGGGGTTGTCGGTGGGGACGTGGCAGTTGATGCTGGTGTTGGCTCGTTGGCCGGAGGCGCCATCAAGATTTCCAGTGGACGTTCGTCGACCATCAGCGGGGGCAACGAAATCACGACTGCCCAGGCCCCGCGCAGTGGGCAATTGTCGTTGAGCACGGGGGCTTCGGAAACTAGTGGCAGCATCCAAATCAGCTCTGGCAGTGCGACGACGTCTTCGGGTACCATTGCGTTGGTGCCAGGGTCGTCGTCCAGTGTTGGAAATGTGGTGGTGTCGGGTGGCGAGACCAGCGATATTGGAGGCCAGGTTGAAGTGTCCGGTGCGACCAATGTTGGCACGCAAGCAGGCAGCTCAGTTGTTGTTCGTGGCGGCGACAGCCGTGCGTCTGTCGGCGGCGAAGTTCGTGTGTCGTCTGGACGAGGCGAAGTCAGCGGCACGATTGAATTGTCTACGGCTGACAGTGTAACGAGCGGCGATTTGGTCCTTCGAACGGGATCTGGCGCTGCAAAGACTGGGAACGTTCAAGTGTCTGCGGGCGATGCAACCAGTCGTGGTGACTTTGCTGTCACAGCAAGCAACACTCGAGTTGAAGCGACAGACGGTTTGGCTGCCGTCCATGGACCAACAGTGCGTGTGGCGGCAGCTCAAGGCAGTCTCAACTTGCTGACCGAAACGACGGGCGACGTGGTCATCGCAACTGGTGACAACAGCGGCGCAAGCTCAAACGTCACGATCCAAGCAGGAACGAGTTCGTCGAGTCAAGCGGGATCGATTGAGTTGAAGGGCGGTCGTGGTGTGGCCGGTGCAGTCGTATTGCAGGGTGGTGACAGCTCCACTGCCAACGGAGGCTCAGTGAAGATAACGTCTGGCCGCGGCGAGACTGCTTCGGCAGTTGAGGTTGCCGTCGGTGCGTCTCGTGGGCAAGGAGGAGTCCTGAGTTTGCATGGTGGAGATGGCGCATCATCAGGCGGCACGGTGGAGTTGGCTGCAGGTCAAGGATTGTCTGGCGCTGGGGGCGACGTTGTGATCAACAGCGGCGCCAACGGCGGGGCAGTGCGCGTCCATGCCAGTGATGTGCTTTCTGCAGCAGCCTCGTTGGTTACCGTGGATGGCGAATCTGGCACCGAAATTTCCAGCCAAGACACCGTGCAAGTGCAAGCGGCAAAGGCTGTGCACTTGTCGACCGGCATCTCTTCAAGTGACGCTGGTGGTGAGATTCGCGTCGTTGCGGGCGGATCGGAAGCAAGTGTTGGAGGCGTTGTCCACATTGCAGGTGGTCGCAGTTCCAGTACGGGCGGCTCCGTCGATGTGCTGGGAGGCGAAGCAACAGCTGTCGGTGGTGGCGTTCGAGTACGCAGCGGACCAAGCGGTGTTGGAGTATCGGGCGACGTGCAAGTGGATACGTCGGATGGTGCTGCTAGCGGAAACGTCGTCCTTGCGAGTGGTCGCGCCACGCAAAGTGGGTCTGGCAGTGTGATAATTTCTTCCGGACCTTCACAAGCCAGTACTGGATCAGTCAAGGTCACTGGTGGTGCGAGTGCTTTGGGATTGGGCGGCAACATTGACGTCCAAGCTGGAACGGGTGCCACGGGTGGCAGTGTGTCGATCCAAAGTGGGATGGGCGACGTGTCGGGCTCAGTTACTGTGCAATCGGTGACATCGTCGACAGTGAGTGGCACTGTTGCGGTCCACACGGGTGACAGCTCATCGACTTCTGGTTCGCTCCAACTCGGTTCTGGCTC